TTCAACTAACATCAACTAACTATTCTCACTTTGAAGGCATAAGCAGGTCGAGCGGGGGTGGAGTTAGTTCTGCCTGTTGCAGTGCTGAGGTCGATCATTAACCCAACATGTCACCCGCCCACGTGGCTTGAACCCAACTCCTCCAGACCCAGAACATCCCAGAACCCTTTCTCCCCTGATCTGGTAGAGCAACGCCCCCCGTCCCTTTTCCCCCCCGGCCGTGGGGCGATCGCTCACCGCGAACACAGCCTTCCAGCCTCGGCCGGGCAGGTCGGAGCAAAGGGCCAGAGGGGACCCAATAGTGCTTCTGGTTGCTAGTAGTAGTGGCCTCCAACCTACTAGTGATGGCCTCCATGTGGGATAAACCAACGAAGCAGCCAGAAAGGCACTCTTGTAATTAAAGAAGAAACCACGGCCAGAGTCGCTTAAGCCCATGCGGCCTCTACAATGCCTGAAACGTCGTGCCGGGTTAAGTCAGCTGCCTTCAAGGCTCACAAAGTGCTGCGCCTGCGACGAAATCTGCACTTTGTATTTGATGATGTTCGCAGTCCCAACAAAAGTGCAACGTTCAGAGTTGTATTTGGCGTATTTTCCATGTATGTTCCAAACATGCAAGATATAGGACCCGAGGGCAAGTAACAAGGCAGCGCGCAAGTTTTGATCGCTTCAGAGGTTTGCGTCAGCGGGGCCCTGCGCGTGGCGCATATGCGATTGGACGCCACCGGCTGAGGGCATTGCACCGTCGGTAAACACTTCAAACGGAATGAGTGGGAATGGGTCCGAACGGACCTTGCTTGACCCACCGAACTGAAATCAGTGGCCGGGGAGGTCAACACATGGCTGAAAAGTATATTCATGATGCTGATGCATATATGTTGTTTTGTATGTGTATATATATAAATATGATATACACATTTACACTTAGTTTTGGATGGTTTGACTAGGTCTATACTATTCCGTGAATCCTGCAGCCTCATTCAATTGTGGGGTCTTCACTCAATTTTTGGTGTCCTTATGTGTCGTTCTCGTTGCTCCATGAGTGCTGGGCCAACTCCTTTCTTTCCAATCTTCCCCTCCTGCACAGTGAAATCATCTATGCCGTGAATCGGTCGTGGAAGAGGTCGGATAATGAAACCGGAGCCAGAGGCAGTGAATGGCAGTGACCCAGCAAACTTCACCGGTGAAAGAAATCGCCTGTGCTGCGGTGCCAAGGATATATGTTCACTCTGCACGACCTGGTAGCTTCCACATTGGCTTGGAAAGATGGATTGGCTACTGGATAGAATTGTTGTTACATGAAGAACTTCAACGTAGCTCTGCTTGAAGCAATACCAACAGGTCAGTGCCCCTATGATCAAACTGGTCGAGTCCAATCATTGAGGAGCGAGCCTATGTCCATTCCATTCTGCGTCCGTTTTCCAAAAAGCCCTGCCGCTTGGTGCACGGTTGTCCGTCGCAAATTCTAGGGCAGAATAGGCTACCAGTACTCCAAGTCCAAAGGGCAGGTGAAACGGGTGGAATGTACCCACTAGGTTGAAGGCCATTGCTATTAGGTTGCAGGCCATCGCTTCTAGGTTGGTAGATTCCTCTTTCCAGAGTGGCCACGTCCCTCCACAACAACTCCCCTCGAGGTCCTGCGACGGCTTTGTCGACCTGGCAGTCGACGCCGAAATCAGGTGTGAAGCAACGAAGACGTATACGACGCAATCGAGTATCAGTATCGTCCAACAAAACGGCTGGAAACGTGGAAACGCAGTTTCTGAACATTTCAAGACAGGAAGACTTACTTGCCAATCGTTTTTGCTTATTATGTGGGGTCACTGTAGACCCGATCAAGGGCATCTACGTGGAAGGCTCATGTACATTTGGGATGATCTCAAACATCGAATCCATTCATCGAATCTATGGTGAGGGTGTCCATGACATGGTGGAAGTCAGGGGAATTGTGTGATTCATCCACAATCGAAATATGGCTGGAAAACTTTATGGCTTGGTCTCGTAGAAGAAGCTACTAGGGGCTCCTGGTCTTACTACTAGGAACAAGGACGCTACTAGGGGCTCCTGGCATCGCATGCTACTAGGGGCTCCTGGCATCGCTACTAGTAGCATTCTTACCACTTGGAACAAGAAGCTACTAGGGGCTCCTGGCCTTATATACTACTAGGAACAAGGATGCTATTAACAGGGGCTCCTGGCATCGCTACTAGTAGCATGCTTACTACTTGGAACAAGAAGCTACTACGGGCTCCAGTAGGGGCTCCTGGCATCGCTACTAGTAGCATTCTTACTACTTGGAACAAGAAGCTACTACGGGCTCCTGGCCTTACTACTAGGAACAAGGACGCTACTAGGGGCTCCTGGCATCGCTACTAGTAGCATTCTTACTACTTGGAGCAAGAAGCTACTAGGGGCTCCTGGCCTAGGGACTGAATCCGTGGCACTTGCGACTCCAATGTTCCCGCTGTCGATCAGCCAAAAAGGCAACCATTACTAGTTGCGTGGTGCTAAAGCACTTCTTCGTCCGCTGACCTACATAGTCTCGAAGCATTTGCGTTTCTCTGGCACATGAGTAGAGCCACCAAGCAAAGTACACATTGATTGCAGAATTACACATCCACAATTAGGCTTACATGAACCTACTGATACTGGAATGGTTTGAAGCAAGAAACACCTTTCGGTACCTTTGACCAGCAGTCAACCATCACCTGAGCCCACCGATGCATTCGCTTTCCCTAGCGATCCATCTACGTCCTCAAACGACCGGTGGGACTGGGGGGATGCTTGGGCGGAGCAACTGAAACAATCCTCGCCTTGTGTGGAGGGGAGGTTATAGATATAGGTCCATCGGAAGATCACATGCAATTTTCACTGAAATAAAAACTCATCCAACACAAACCGAGGTGCATGAGAGTGCATGAGGTACTTTGCGAGAGACCCTTTCAGATTGCAAACTACCAAGCCAATGGACCCTCGACCGAACTTCTGCGGATCGTTGCGGCGCGATGCGGCGCGTGGTGTGCCTGTTGATGTCGCAAAGCGCCTCCACATCTCTGCTGTTCATCCCCAGCCTCAAGAGTTGGCTGAACGGCCAAACAAGCCTAGGGTCTTGGAGAGTAATTGTAGAGTAGACGACATGTCTTATCTATTCCTAATTATTGTTAATTCATCGCAATAGTTATCCATGATCCTGGCAAGTTCATAGCTGAAACATCAAGTGCACCGTTTGACAATGTAGCCAGGGCCTAGGGCCTAAACCTAGACCCCTCCTGTGATAATATTGCAGTTTGATCTTTGGTCCAAACAAAATTAGACCCAAAGACTGTGCGTGAGCCACAGCCATAGCCGGATGATTTTCCATTTGTTCGGCCCCATTCGGCTCCCCAACTCATTGTTCACCGCAGAAAAATAGAGTGTCTCGTCCTGGAAGGAAAGACAAATGAAACGAGCCAGATCATTCCGAAACCGGACTGACCTTCCAGACCCTGTTGTTGTTGCTGGACTAGAGCCTGGACTAGAGACATGGCCAATGACCATGGAGAGGTCATTGGAAGGTGGGAATCAAGTGATATGCCGCTATGCCAGCCAAACATTGTTCTGGAGCATGTCACAACTTTGTTAAGACCTGGGTTGGCATGCAAGCCACGCAGAAGGCCCCGAAATGGATCAAGGATCCGAGCTTTTTCACGGCTCTTGACAGGAGCCTAGGTAAGAACAAATGCAACAAGCACTCCCAAGCCGAGGGTACCACCTACCACCCTTTTGACCAATAAGAACAATTGATCAACAAAAATGGTTTCTGCCTTGACACATTTGACACCGGAAGCAAAGACTTTAGGATCCAAACGGAGGCTGCTTTAGGACCGAAACCGTGCCACTGGTGATCACGTGACCCGGTGGACCGAAATCCACCGGGATCCAAAGAGTGTCCAAGCACCTTCTCAGATGCGGATCCGTAGGGAAACAAAGATTCAACACAAAAAACATTGTTATGGTAGAACATGGTAGAACCCTGACCTGAATGCCGAAAATGAAGGCCGATTCCACATTCAATGCCAGTGACTTAAGACTTATAGGCGAAAGGGCCTGGAATTCTGGAGAGTTTCACACGGGGGTGGCCCGAACAGCCAAACAAACTATGCAATTCGTGGTTTTGCACAGCCAAAAGGCTCCGGTCGGTTGGATCATCGGCCGATGACAATGATGTGGAATTGAGGACAGAATCTGGTGTAACCGAAGCCAAGCCTGGTGATATTGATGGTCAGTGGAACTCTCTTGAACCGGATGTTGGTGCACCTCTCCACAACCCCAATGTACTCACGACACGTCTCTTCCATGACAACATTTGAAATCGATGACTAAGGTGGTGAAATCGATGACAGGGTCGCGCAATCTATGAGCTCAGCTTGTGCAATGATGATGGATCGTGACATCTGGATGAAATCCGTCATTTTGGCAAAACAATGCAGGCAGGCCCCTGGGGAGAGTGTGGAACCACACACGCTCGTCCTTACCCAACTGGAGCCAACAAGAAATTACAAAGAACTGCAGCCCTGTGGAATCCTGTGGACCAACAAGACTCTGTCCTTCCACATCACCACAATACTGCGACAACAAAACTTCCAAGTCCACCATCCCCAGCACAACAAAAGCGCTTTTCTCCTTCACTTTCGATCCGAGATCCCCTGTGATCCCCATCAGTGCGTCCACTGCCGAACCCCGAGATTGCTGCCATTCAGAAGCTGACAAACACTCTGAAGCCATCTTGTGCCTAACACTGTTTGATTTCTGTCTCTTGATTTGTAAAAAAGAGGCACACGTTAAAAGGGCTATTCTTTTTTCGGGGTCACTTCCCCCAGGGACTTTTGCATGTTCATCTGTACCAACACATCAAGCACTTAAACGCATTTCATCTCATGCCCTGCAAACGGCCTGGCAGCAGCGCCATGCGACGTGGAACGCCGCGGAGACCCTTTTGGCACTGCCTCACTGCATTGGCCATGTCAGACCTTGCGAAGCCGCACGCTGCGGAGAAGGGTCGAACGAGTTTCCCAGAAAAAGAACATCCCCCAAACAAAATGCTTTCTGTGAACCACAAGACGACCCAATGTCTTCTTCTCAAACCATTCTTACCCCTGTTTGCTTCAATTTGTGGTGTTTCCTCACCACCAGACTGCCGCTGCTTCTTACTTCGATGATCCTCGATGCATGATATACGACAGACCCACAGATTCTCACTCGTCAATTCGGAAGTTGCTTTTCACTCGAATTCCTTTGATTGATCACTCCTGGGTCTCTGCAGTCTCCCCACTCTGCAAGTTGGTCCTTCAAACCCTGTACACTAGAGACTGACACCCCATCCCACCGAACCAGGGTCCAGTTGCAGATCCCAGCCCCTCGCCCTGGATCCCTGTGCGATTTGGGTTTAAGATCTATCAAGGCAACGAACCCTCAAGAAGAAACCAAAGTGGTGAAAGGTCTAGGAGTCTAGGCCGAAGGTGTAGAGTCCCAGTCTGATACAGTGCAGTCATGTAGGGATAGTCAACACTCAACACCTTTGAAAGAAAATAGAAACTGACCCAAAGCCACCCCAACGACCTGCAACAAGTGAAACTCCTCTGCCATCTCTCTAGCTGCGAGAAACCGCCAGGACAGCACCTACTGGGCAGTGATCTCCCGTGGCCACGGCGGGCAAATGGAAGGCGTCCCAGAAGTGCGTCTGGTGCTCCTGCAGGTGGTTGGAGGCCGTCGATGGCCTCCAACCTAGAAGCAATGGCCTCCAACCTACTAGCGATGGCCTCCACACTCCACCGAAGAATAGTGGCGTTTGGTGATCCATCCAAGCGAAGGCCACTCCAGAAAACATAGGAACATCTGTGGTAGTGGGAGATTTTCTCCAGATTTTGCTGACCAACTATGGTCAAGACATGTGCTTTTGTGGGATTGGCAGGGAACCTGAGCGAAGGACGTTCTGGTGGGATTCTTTTGGATCCTGTGGGAGGGTGTGATATCTGAGACCTGTACACAGAGCATCCGGCTGTACATCTGCTCAAGCAACTGAGCTGATATGAACTGATATATATATATATTATATCCAAAACGTATGTACAAAAAATAAAAAACATGGTTTATCTTTAAACACTGTGCGTACTCTCGAGTATAAATCATATATATATATATATATGTATGTATCATGATAAGATTGTCCCTCACCTTCGCGAAAATGGCTCCACGTCCAAGTACTCTTCGAGTATTCCTTGACTCTGAAGGCATGCAATATCATTGCACCCTTCCACTGTCCCATCCAGGCAGGAGCACTCCTGTGCAGACACCAAGCTGTCAGAGACCATCGCATAGTCCAAACGCAAGCCTGACTTGGGACGGATCGCGCACCCCTGAACATGTAGAGATGATAAGGACCCACCTTGCCTTCAGGGTAGGTTTTGTGTGCACCTGAACTTCTTGTTGAATCTCCAGGCAAATATACTCAAGCCGCAAGCCAAATGGAGCCTTCAATTCAACCAACATAAACCAACAATAGCTCCACGTCCAATGCGTTCTCCACGTCCCGGTTACTGGGTCCGCCTTCGCTTTCGGCCGGCCGACCCGCTCCGACGCAAGCCTCGATTCTTGGGGCGATTCCCGGCCCGGACGCTCCAATAGGTAAAGGCGCCCAGGACCTGAACGTGACGAGCCAAGGCCGGTGCGCCGTGACCGGACGCTACGAACGGGGCGACCCTGGCCCTACTACGAAGGGAACAAGAAGCTACTAGCAACAAACGGCATCACTAGCACTTGCGCAAGGGAGCTGAAATGAGCTGAAGAAATCCAAGTTCCCTGCCCTGAGGAAATATCCGGTTCTTCGGCAAAGGCCTTCAAGCCTGGTGTTGCTGGCTTTTGCTTTAGGATTCTACATGACTGAAATAGTAGCGGTGTTGGTCTTCACAACCCACAAACCCATCCTAGCTCCACCTTACACCGCCCTCCAAAGTTTCTACAAAACGACACATGCCGAATGATGACAACATCTTCTGAGGGTGCTGCTGCTCTTGTTGAAAAGGATACAGATTGAGACCTCAGGTATCTCGCACCATGCCAAGTCACCTCCGGATGGCGCAAGCTAAAGCCATCCTGCAACGTTCATTGCATGGCCCGAGCGCTGGTGGGTCACATGCAGCTCGGCCTCTTGTCCAGGTAGTGTTATGCTTATCTGTGGTTGCTTTGGGTAGCCAACTCAGGCCCATGAAGAACAAGCTATAACAACTCCTGACCCACAGGCAGGTCTGACGTCATTCCTTGCCTGGAATTCCCAGGTTGGATCCAATCAGGGTTGCTTCATCGGCACAACAGCGAACCGATGAGTGGATGAGTGGTGGTGAAGAAAATTCGCACATTTTGCGGCAATATTGAGGCACCCACACATACGCACACATCGACTATGGAAACATCATGCTACATCATGAAACCCTGCAAATCCTGCACGGGGTTTGGATACATCGACCAACCAACCGTTTAGTATCGACCATTCACAACCGTTCATCATTTGCTCGTCTCACGTCTCTTCTCAAATTTCCCGTCCTTGAAACCACTATCGATCAGCTTGCTGAAGGACTCACGCTCCTCATTGGTGGTGCCCGCGCTCTTGGGCACATGTGGGGCCTCTACGTTCCAGATGTCCTCGGCCGCAGGACAAGTGCACACCAAACGGATCAACCTCCTAACGCCATTCAAGAAATGAATGAACTCGTGTGTATTGGAATAGGGAGACCCTCCAACGATTGTAGTTGTTTTAGTTATAGCGGCTCTAGTTAGTCAGTGTTTGGTCTTCCGGGTCTTTGCTTTCGCGGTATTCAATGAGAACAACACGTCGTGACACACAAAGTGGAAGTTGGCCCTCTTGGTGAGTTGCAAAAGAAGCGTCCTCGGACCAATGGCACTCGCCAGGGACCCCGCTAGTTCACTGATTCAATCTCATCTGATTTGGTGATTGCAGGATGTCATCCTGCAAAAATGTTTGCGCCATTGAGATTTGTGATTCCAGGTGACTTTTGACGATGGTTCCGCCTTTCTGCAAGCTTTGCTGTTTCAGACTTTGGAAAGTTCCACCATTGCATTCATTGCATATTGGGGAATAATGAACAACTCCCAAGAAGGATCCGCCAAAAACTACAAATAGAAAAAGTCAAGGTTCAAGCTAGAAACGAATCCAAACCCTAGGCCCTAGCCTCCCTAGATCGATTCGAATCCATGGTGGGCCAAGACTATGGGAAACCCACTGAAGGGATCATGTCAAGTTCAATCCCTATATGCATCCCCACATCTGTTCGTCGCTCGACCACTCAGCTCAGGATCTTTGTCTTGATGCGCCACATTGAGGTCACCTCAGCGGTCAGCGCCGGACGTCGAATCTCTCTGCGTCGGCTTGGGGCTGTGAATACACTTGTTGATGGGACACCTTGGATGCGAACTCCAGTCCAAATCATAGTCTAGAAACTGAAGGAGTCACATGAGAGTACTTCATGAGCAAGATGGTATTTCCAGCAGCCTTGCCTTTGTTTGTACAAGGTAAATCACTGTTGGCACTTGTAAAAAGAAACACAGCACACATTGGCACACACCTCATAAAAACACCAACACTCCTCACATAGGCGGGAGAGATCAACACCATGAATCATGAATCTATATATGTTTGTATCATTTTGTATCCGTCAACAATTATGAATATCGGATGTGTCGACAAACAAATATCCGAGCGGGTTCTCCATTCTTCCACAAAAAAAGAAGGAAAGCCTTCGGGGTCCCATCTGTAGGACGCCCGAACGGCACCGCGCAGGGATCGTTGGGAAAAAAAGAACGCTCTTCAGCAAGTGGCCCATGAGTAAGACATGTTTCTTTTTGCCGAGATCTTGTAGGCGTTGTCTCAGTTGCACGTCCCATTCCTCGATCCTCAGATGTTGCGAGATTTCGCCTTCAATCTGCAAATGTCCATTCCCTTTGCTCCCCGGTCGGATCTGCCGGAGAAATGTCAGCGTTCGTTGCAACGACCCCTCTTGTGGGCCAAAACGTCCCGACTTCGTGGAGTTGGTCAGTGGATCCATGGCAGTGGCTCAAAACCTCACCCACCAAACCAGGGAAGGTTGATTGACATCCAGTTACTAGTAGCTTCTAGCTACTACATAGTAATGCCCTTGTTACTAGTAGAGATGCCCCTGTTACTAGTAAGGAAATCTGTTCATGTGACCCGGGGTGCCCCAGTTCCAGTGTGCCCCGTTGCCATGACCCGCAGCACAACACCAAGCTGCAGCTGCTTCCCATCGACGTATCGAGGCGGAACATGGGGGCCAATCCGTGGGTAGACCGCCCTTCTGGCAGGCTCACAGTGACGTTCCATGGTCACATGTTGGAATCGTTTGATGGTCTTCCCTTTAGAAGCAACATATATCTAAAGAATTCCCAATTAAATGGTGTTGATATTCTGGCTCTGCATCACAAAAGCCAACGGTGGGTGAAGATTCTTTTCTTTGCATGTTCTACCCATGCACTGGCCGGTGGTTTTGACCAATCAGCACCCAAATGGCTTATTTGTCGCCTTTCCACAAAGGTTTCAGCGCTTCTGGGTCGTTTTGGGAAGAGGCTCCGCTGGGTCAAGCGCTTCAGCTGATCCCCCGAGTTGGGCACGTAGCACACCACTACGTAGACCTTGGACTCACTGGGGAAGAGTCTTCTCATTCCAAAAAAAGAGGGCGGGAACAGGCCACCACGGGGTGGGACTCAGGGAAGATTCACCGACGCCAAAGATCCGACTGTGGTCTGGGGAGCAGAATGATGGGGCGCAAATTGGACCAGTCCGGTGTCAGATCGGTGCAAAGACTGACCGTTTCAGGACCAACATCAGTGCAATGCATCCTTTTGGGTCTACAGCCACAGTCATATATATGAAGAAACACCAATTGTCTGATTTGGCAGGGCATTGGACAGGTATCCATCATGGGATGTTCCTCTTGAAGAACTGAAGATGAAGATGACGAGGCTCCCAAAGGGTATTCTTGAAGTTGACCGCTACTAGACGTGAAGACCAACAACTCTAAGATTACATTTTGGACAGATGCCCACCAAACAATTTACTCAGGTGACTGTACTTTCATGCGAGTCGCAGAATGCACTTGGTGGCAAGCCAATATCCATTCTTCACAATGTGCATAGATGCTGGACTGGCAGAGTCCACAATACACGAACGTACCAACTTGCTTAGGTACCTGCATTCCAATAACCTGCATGACAAGGGAGCAGGGGGCCTGGCCAAAATAGGACCGCACAAAAATGTATATTGCGATGGAACATGAAGTCTTCAAGCTTCCTTTTGGTCACGATACCAATCATGTTTTCTCGTGGTTCCCGTAGCAACTCCCCGCTTGCGTCTGAAATCCTCCCTAACTTGGTGCACAAACACACCCCAAACCACGCGGTCCACTTTGCACCTGGTGCCACCTCCAACCTTCACTCCAGCACATCTCCTTCCGTCCGAGATCACATCCGACACCGTCTCGACGCTTCCATCCCCACCGCGGCACCGTCTCAAACTCCAGCACCACTATCCGCCCCTCCTGCGCCGCGCTTGGCAGATCCTCCGCAGTCACCGCCACCGGCCGGGGCGCCTCCTTCCGGAGCAGCCTCGCGGGGGTCCCTATTCAACTGAGCATTGAGCATCGTAAAGAACACTAGACGACAGGGTGGCCCGAAAGCACAGTAGATGAAACAAGGTAATGACGATGACGACGGCGATGATGGTGATAACCGATATATGACAATACTTCCCACACTGCGAAGCTTGAACGGTGGTGCATGGCAGCGAACAACGAAAAATGGAAGAGCGGTTGGATTTGCGTAGCCACCTTGGACATGTGTTGGCAGGGATTGGTAAAGCCCATCACCACCAGTTTTTGATAGGTAGGGGTCTCATAGACGTAATTTTGCTGCAGCGTTTGCCACAGACTAGATGCAACCATGTGACACCAGTGCAGCTGAGTTGTGTAGATGTCTTCACCTGTATCTTAACGCCTGTATCTAAACACCAGTATCTGCACACCTGTATCCAAGCAACTGTATCTATGTAGGCCTGTCGTAGCAGTTGCACCACCTGCATCTCTACACCTGTATGATGACGACGACGATGGGGTGATGATGCCAATGATAGTGATGTAGGTGTGTTGGTGTGTTGTAGCAGTTGCATCATGCTGATGCTGATGCTGCTGCTGCTGCTGATGCTGCTGCTGCTGATGATGATGACGATGACGATGACGATGACGATGACGATGACGATGAGGATGATGACAGTCAGTTCGACAGTTGAAGTTGGCAGCCGTTCTTTAAGAAAGACATGTCTGGGGGGAAAGAACATGTTTCACAGATCTTGTACTCCTGAGGTAAAGCTTGAAGTGAATGTGACCGTTTAAACTGAAAGCGGATCGACAGGAAAGAGGTAGTGGCTCTGTAAAAGCAAAACGCAGCTGGCCAAGGATCACTAAGACTCCAGAGTAGCCCTTCTTGGCTGTGGAGTAGTTCACACCTGAGTATATGGAAACAACCCTTGAAAGTGCATTCTTCTTTCCATTAAGCTGATCACTATATAACTGATTTTAGGACCTCCTCTTTGTGGATTCTTTGTGCCTCTTGAAGGTCAGCCCCTAATTGGCGTTCCACACGCTTACCTCGGCTGCCGCCATTGGCACAGGCCAGCTCGTAGTCGGGCAAGGTCTCGGAGAGTTCCTTCAAGGCCGCCTCGCTATCCGCAGTGGAGTCCTTTAGCTGGACTCACATCAATGGGAATAGGATACAATATGATACAAGAGGGATGTGCCTGTGCCATACTAGTGTGAGCTCAAGTGGTACTTCTAAAGAGTATTCGTAGAAAGTCAGCTTCTCCGATGCCATACACTGCCATGATATATGAATTGTCAGGGGGGGCGGTGCGAGGCTCTCCTGGGCAATATAACGGAATATAATATACCAATATATATATATGCAATAAGATGGCTATATAATATAGCAATATAGGTTAGAAGACTTATTACGTACCTCATTCAGCCAAAAGGAAGCTCTAATGAGTTGGTGTTGACTGATCCATCTTCAGTTACTGTACCCAACAATTTCCCAACAAGTCGATTAAATTGTGGCTTCAATCCACCGGAAAACAACACACTCGTGGGGACTTAACATGCCAGGATATGCATGAACTAATCTGAAGCACAAACATGACATCAACACAAAACACACACACACACACTCATCATGTGTGTTTTTCCTCCTTCTCTCCTGCAATTTGTGCTCCATGATCCCGATGACCGCTGGAGATCTGGCCAGCTGCACTGCATTTTCCAGGTCCTGGACGTTCCGACGTTCCGTGATCAGCGAGTCTGATTGGTCAAAAGGCGATCATGAGCGATGCGGTTGGTCTTTTTGTCAGAGTCTTGGGATGTCGTTTTCCTAGTATCCCTAACCAATCTTGACTACGAACCAATCGATGGGCACCTGTGCTGGGCAAGCCATATTCCATGGTTTCATCTTCTTTCTGATCTCAACGATCGCAGTGTTGCCAATGCAAAGTTGAAACATGTTAAGAGCCTTAAGTTATGATTAATTATGTAACATGAAGCTTCTTCGACTGCTTTGATCGTTCATACCTCCTCCTTATTACCAAAACCAAGAGGCCAGCGGCGACAAGCCCTCCAAATCCAAATGTACAGCACAACTTGCCAGCACTGGACAAAAATAATTGCAACTGCCCATGTGGCAAATGCTTTGTGACCCAAACAGGAGTGGCTTCGCAAATACCTTAACTTTGGCTCACTGCCAATGGGTTCATATATGCCGCAAGCAGGAACCTAAGTGTATGATGCAGATCTGAAACAACACATCAAGTTCCGGCCAAAATAGTGACTAACTTCTTGGAGCCTGATGAGACTTGTATCTCTCAATCGATGGTGCTCAAATTTATTACAACCTTCTCCCTTCTGCCGTCAGATTCTCCCAAAATCAACTGCATCAAAAGCCTGTCCATCCTGTCCCAACTGCTTTCACCCTAAAGTTTACCATCCAAACAGGCAGCTTCGTCTCCCGACCTTCGGCCCAACAAACCAACCCTTGGACTCTCGGCCCCCGCTCCGGACTCCAACCGCCGACGTGGTCCTTCTTTCGGCTCTTGAGGAAGGCCCTCAAACCGCCCACGTTCCAACTGAGCACCGTGAAGGCCTTCTTCCCCGCAGGCAGTGCGTCGCTGCGGCGGGGGAGCTCGGGCTCGGGGATGCTGCCTTGCTCCTTGTAGCCTCGGTGCGCGAACGCTGCAGGAAGCTTCCATCAAGGGTCCCTGAAAGCCTCCAGCTCTGGGGATATATGTGGAAGTGAAATGGATCCTCGAGTTTGTACAGAAAATGAGACATGCACCTATAGAAAAACAGGTATACCCACGACCTGCAATTTCTGGCGACAAACAAAGCATCAAATTTCATGGGAAAAGAAGGGTTGGCATTCGACGACGTCTTTGACCAAAACAAACTGAGACCTCGATGGTCATGGAGAACTTGAGAGGAGCGCAGTAGTGTGCAGTAGATCATGGGGCCCAACCTTCACTGTAACAGCAAACTTGATGGTCTACATGGTTGACTGTACTAGTAGTAGCAAGCGCATCGCTAGTAATTAGTAGCAAGTGCAAAGTCGCGAAGAGTCATAAAATGTCATGAGGTTGGAAGCCATCGCTAGTAGCTTGGAGGCTGTCGCTGTATGCTATAGTTAAGTTTTCTTAAAATCTAGGAACCAAATGAATAGTGCGAGGGCTTCTTCAAATGAATAGTGGGCGGAGGGAGCTTCCTTGAAGAAGCGTGAGATATCTAGTTACCGACCTACCTCACCTCTACAAGCGGCCTACTCCCCATTAAAAAAGTAAGAAAACATATATATATATAGAGAAACAATAAGCTACTAGGAACAAGTGCATCGCTTCTAGTAACAAGTGCCTTACTAGTAGTAACAAGACGCTATTAGGAACAATAATTAGTATATTAGTATATTGTTACAATGTGAAACTCTTATATATATATATATATTATATTTATTTCTATCTTTTAATGTCATGAGATGTCATGAGGGCGTATTGACTGTTGCAGCTGTTGGAGTATGAACTCGATACACCGAACAATGGAATGAGAAGACACAAAACCATCGGCAGATTGATTGGGCGGCGAATCCAAAAAGGACCGGTTCCCCAAAAAGACCAAAGAACCTGAGAGGACATACGAGCTTACAGATGCTTGCAGCTTACTCATCTATCATATCTTAGTCATATTGTCCTTTGACTGCAACGGTGTCCAAACCTTCCCGATGGTCCAAAACGTCCCAACCAAGCCACAAGTGTAAGGCCCCTCTTTGGCCTTCTTCCCACGCTTCGGCTTCTGTGAGTCCCCCTCGCTGACCGCACTGATCGTGCGCTTCGGGGGCGTGGGGCGTCCAGCGTCGGCCGCCTTGGCTTTGCCCTTCTTCGGGGGCGGCGTTTTGGTCTCCTCGTGGGTGTCCTCCAGATCCTGCAACCGGCTGTCCATGCGAATTACATTTGGATGCACATTTTGTTCCAAACCATTATATCCAACACAGTCAATTGTGATGAGTGCATGACCTAAATGGACCGCCCCCAAATGGCGGTGTTCGTTTTGTCCGAAAGCGGGTTGTGGGGTGGACCCATCGCCGAGGTCACCCACCAATTTTGGTGGACCACTTGGCGTCCCCAGACTTATTTTGATAATCTCAATGGAAGAAATTGGAACAGGTACTAATGTTGACCTCTGATTAATAAAGGCACTGTCAATGTTTGAAATTCTTAGGAACCCCTAAATAACGTTCATCCCAGGTTCCAAGAAAGAATTATACAATAAAATGAAATGTACCTTACTAAAACTAATATAACCAAAGGTGAATGCTTCTAGTAGCTTCTTGCTCCAAGTAGTAAGAATGCTACTAGTAGCGATGCCAGGAGCCCCTAGTAGCGTCCTTGCTCCTAGTAGTAAGGCCAGGAGCCCCTAGTAGCTCCTAGTAGCGATGCCCTTTGCTCCTAAAGTAGCTTCTTGTTTCAGCATTTTTCTTCTGGTTCCCGGATGTTTTGGGCATCCCCCGCTATCTAAAGCTCCTTGGACGCACTGGCGCTCAGCTTCTTCTTGAACTTTGGAGGCATCGTGCGATAGCGCGGGCCGCCGGGTGGGGCCGCCGGGGGAGGCTAATGATGAGCTGAAGGTACAGCGGCAAAAGCGTCCCAAACTCACTGACCACCAGGCGGTCTCCACAACACCGGCCTGTGGGTTACAGCACCTGCTTCATCCTGATGTCCGGAAAATATGGCGGGTACTCAAGAACTGTCAAAGTGAGAAGGCATGGTCATTACAGATCGCCCAAGATCTGTAATAGCAAAACACATGCACCATATCCCTCGATAAGGACCCAACAAAGGTATCGACGGTATTAACTTCTACACATCGAGCACCGCTTGACATTCCGGGGATTCCATCAACACATCGCTTGCGTCTCAATGACACACGAAGGAGATCGCCGATCATGGGTGCCGATCATCGGTCGCTGGAGATCTGACGAAACGAAAAAGAAACACTTAGCAACATGAGAAGTAGTAAGTTAGTAAGGCCAGGAGAGCGTCCTTGCTCTTAGTAGCGATGCCCTTTGCTACTAGTAGCGATGCACCTTGCTACTAGAAGCTTCTTGTTACTAGTAGTAAGGCCAGGAGCTACTAGTAGCGATGCACTTGTTCTCCATGGTCAAGTCGCCTCAACTTTGTATCATGGTTCGTCTTGATGTTCTTTTTGATGGCAAAAGAGATGGGATGGCAGGCAAGGCCAAAGGATGTCGAAAAATGTCTTTTGGAGGTGCTATTGACTTGGAGGGTATCTTCCCCCAAGTCCCGAACACAGCCAGAGTGGTCAGTTTGGAAAAAATGCATGTGCTTTTATGTGTTGAGGAGGCAATTGGTCCGCTTGTCTGGAAATCAGAAACTTAAGCAATCTTAGGCCGTTTTACACCTGAAAAAAAAGTCTATAACCATCCCGCACGGAACAAACAGGTTTTTGATCTTCGCTCCAAAAAAAGACCGAAGAAGACCGTGTGGTTCATTTGAACCCGGATGCCCGGTAGGTTTGAGTTGTACCCGACCCCCCTCGGCATCCCATAGGTTTACCATCCAAACCAGTTGAAACGTCGTAGACTGTCAGATCTGATCCCCAAAGAAAATATGCATGGCCTTTGTTCCTAGTACTGGCGGTAGGCCAGGAGCGCTCCTAGTAGCGTCCTTGCTCCTAGTAGCGATGCCCTTCGTTACTAATAGCTTCTTGTTACTAGTATAGTACTGTAATAAGATCTGATCCCCAAAGAAAAGATACATGGCATCTGCTTGGAAACCTCTCATCCATGATTCATGATTCACATTCAATCCCTGCTCAGTCAACCGAGTAGATTAGATGTCCGAACGGAGATCATGTTTCGTGTCCTGCACCGGCGACCAAAGCCACTGTTGAAGCACCGATTGGTTCCCTGTCCTCTGCACGGCCCAGCTGCAAGGCGAGCCTGGATGAGTCACAAATGAGTCAGGTCACGGTGGACCTTTCCTCCGAGGTCCGGTTTCAGGTTTCAATCCCTGTCCTTTTTCAGTGTTCAAAGGTCAGATGTGAGACACAATGGATAGTTCATATGGCATATGGATAGCATGAACTGTCACTTCCAAGTGAAAGAAAGATCTGTGATCGCTTAAGCAAAGAAACATCGCCAGTCGAAGCCCTCCCCAGCACCCCGAGTGTCCCCTTCATCCAATCTGCGCTTCGCCCAGTGGCTCGGGTGAAATCTCTGCGCTGTAGCGGTTGTCGTCGGCGTTTTGGATCAACTCCAAGAGGAAGTGACCCCTGAGGTTGTGAAAGCTTTCTGCCCGACCTTCTGTTTGGAGTCTCCGAGAGTAAACGCAAAGAGGTGATGGGGAACTCCGTGATACCCCTTGCGCGATGTGTTCCCGCCAGCCGCCAGCGGTTACCAGTCACCTTTTGTGAACAGTTATTGAGATTCCCAATCTTGCGACTTGTTTGTGTTACTCTTCTGTACAAAAGGTCCACAGTGAAAAGCCAGGTGCGGACGGTTGGCGTGACGATGATTTGGGGTGACGCTCGCACCAGGCGGGTCGAGTTCACCCGCTTCACTAGGTTCGGGAAATGGATTTAAAAACTGTTGAGGCATCTGTTCAATCTGTGATGCCACAAACGTATTCAGTAAGTGACAAGCAGGATATTATGACTTGCTTTCACTTAGTGGTATTGTAGTATTTTTTTTTTTGGGCCTTGGACGAGAAAGCCTTTCAACAAAAGGGGTGAGAACACGAGAATGCTAAATAGTGCACATTTGAAATCAAAGAAAAATGAATATTACAATTGAGGATAAAAGCTGTGTGCCTCATACAATTGAAACCATGCTTGTTGAACCTATTTGAGTATGGGCCATGCGTGGAGTTGTAACAATCAATCTTTTTTAATTGGCCATGAAATTACAACCAACACTATTTCCTTATGGAACAAAAATAGCTTCAATGCATTTCACACGAGTTTTGTTCTTTTGGTGCACGAGGTTTGCAAATTGCTGGGGCCACTGGTAGGTTACCTGATTTGAATGGACTTGGGCAAAAGCAGCCATTGGAGGGCTGCAGATGAAGTTAGGTGGCGATAATTAATGCTATCAGTAAATTAAGGGATTGAAGTCACTCAGGCCTTTGGAGTTGTGTCTTTCCTCTCCCATGCCTCTGGAGTGGCAATGGACCTTCCTACAGCACATAACCAGCCAAGTTCCATGTTTAGAAGATCTATCAGCATAATACGGTCTTTTTTATTGATGCATCTTATGAGGTTGAGGGGCATCGATGAGATGGCATTTGATAAAAAACAGCCAAGTGAGAGTCACCATACTTTCCATTGTCATTTCCACATTCAAAGGAAGAGCTTTCGGAAACCGCGCAGGTGATCCCAAGGCTGATTTTTTCTTGCGCGCGCTGCAAAGTCAAAACTTTGTGGCCGAAGCAGCCACCAAATGCCAACATTGCAAAGCAGTCAAGCGGCCGAAGCAGCCACCACTGCCCCAAAGCCGAAGCAGCCATGCTTAGTCCTCATTCTCCAAAGGATCCCAGACTTCATCTTCTTCGTCCTCCTGCTCTTCCTGTGCTCCCTCTCCTTCGTCGTCCTCTGGCACAGGCACTGGCGCGGGCTTTGGCTTTGGTTTTTGCTTTGGCTTGCACTTCGGCTCTGCTTTTGCTTTTGTTTTGGTTTTCGGCGTCGGTTTTGGTTTGGCCTGGGGCTTAGCCTTAGGTGCAGGCTCAGGCGTTGCTGCTGTCTGGACCCCCACAGCTTCACTGTAGGCTGCGCTGAACAAAGGGGAGGTTGAGTCCCGCATGTCCTTTTCCAAAAGAAACATGAGCCTCTCTTCCATGAGGCGTTCGTGCTCCGGATTGTATGCCACGCCGACATACCCGACGCGGTTCCGCAAAGCTGCGTAGGCAAAACGAGCGTCAAGGGGTGTCAGGTCGAACACCATCTTTGCGTAAAAACAATGGAGCAGTTCTTCGTAAAGCTCCAAGGGTGGGCTGTGGAAGGAGACTGGTTCCTTCGCGTTGCTCGCTCGGTCGTTCGGCTTCTCTTCATCCTTAAATTCAGTCTTGCCGCCCACCAAAATTTGATGTTTTTTACCCAAAAGTTCCTTTTTTGTTTTCCAATCAAGCTGCCATTCCTCTGTCCAAGATGGCATCTTCACATTGGTGATCAGATCGCCTGTGGTCGACCCATCAAAGTGCTTCCGGTCCCTGCTGGGAAGGGTCAACTTTTTGGCGCTCAACACATGACACTGCTCCATCTGCTTGATGGTGCAGGTGCCCCTGACTCTTTTCTTTCGGGCTGCCAAAGACTGCTCACTGTATCCAATCTGGAGCAAGTCCACAAACAAGGTCGGTTTGTCATCTTCCTCCTCCCCCCCTTCTTCGCCTTCTTCCTCCCCTTCTTCCCCTCCATCCGCCTTGGAGGCAGTCCCTTCACGCCAAGGTGCCAAGAGCTTGTTTCTCAACCCCTTTTTTCCACCATCAAAGAGCAAAGCCACCTCGCTTACTTGTAGGTGTGGGGTATGCCCATCAGTGGCACCTTTTCGAGCATTCAAAACACTTTTGACCAACCGTGTGTAGAGGGCTTCACGAAAGGTTGCTATCCGAAGATCTGGGCGAGTAGTAGGTTCTCCATACTTCTTCAAATCAAAATGGAACAAGGCCATTCCAGTTTGATCACCGCGCAAAGACATGGAGGGAGTTTCCTTCAGAGCTTCTTCCAAGTCAGCATTGGAGCGATGGTCGCTGACAAATCTGACATGTTGTTGCACTACCTTCCGCATGTGTTGCCGCCACATGGCAGCATCCGAATCGGTAAGAGTGGAGGCCGGAGCAGCCTCAGCAGCGGTGACAGAGGCCGGTGCAGCCTCAGAAGCTTCAGCCTCAGCTGTTTCGGTCTCCTCCGCTTTTTCTTCGACTTGCGGCGCATTTGGTGCTTGTGGTCTTGCCTCTTGTCTCACCAGTGCTCCTAAATTTTCCATGGTACTTTTCACAGATGAGTACGCCAAAAAGTCTTGCACCTCATGCCGATTTTTGATTCCATCTTTGTAGCGACCGTCATACTCTTGTCCATAGATGACCCCTTCCAGGAAAGTACTGATTTCAGAAACGCTGGTAGGAGCCCCCAGCAACCAGGCCGTATCAGCCGTTTGCTGTGGGTATGGAGCAAAGTGCCCACGAACCTTCTCAAACGAGCTGAAAGTTGATTTGATCTTGTTTTTCCATTCCGTGGGCAATTCCAAGGACATGAGCCACTCAGTGAGCAAGTGTTGTAACACCTTTTTTTTCATTTTCAAAACTTCGATGTAGCTCACCCTGGAGTCTTTGAGCTTGCTGATGACAAACACTCCTGCATCTAGAAATGACATCCTCACTCCATCGACCATGCCTTGCAACGCCCAGGCTATCATCTCAGGCGTTCCAGCGCGGTCGATCAAAGCTTGCAAAGCATAGATTGACTTCCACGGGGACACACTAAGCCAATTTTGGTCACACCACTCTAAGACTTGTTGGCACGCAGGTTGCGACAGCAGACGCCTGTGGATAGTCAAGGCTGAATCTACAAAACTTTCTGAAATCCTCTCTTGGTTTGAAGCCAGCTTCAGGTGCGCTGAATAAAGCCCGGCTAGCTTTTTAGATCCCAGGTTGGTTTCTGTCTTGCTCTTGGCTTCGTGAAAGCCCGCAATGTCGAAGATGCGCTGCCGCAAGGTCATCTGCACAGCCAAACCCTTTTCCACCATTTCTTCTCGAATGTTTTGCGCCCTCCAGTACCGAGCCTCCCCAACTCCACAGATCTCAAAAACAAAGCTTGCAGTCAAAACGCAAGATTTGAAAGCTCTGAGGACATGTTCTGGCGCTTTGCGTTGAATGGCTTCTGCCAAAGCAAAGAGCAGCGCATGGACTGGTTCTGCTGGACTCAAGCGTGCGAAGCCTGCTTCTGGGCGGTCGGCGACAGATGTCGGCTTCTCGACCGCAAGATTTATAGTGAATGGGCACAGGCTTGGCTCTGCATTTGGGGGAAACCAATAATCTTTGATTTGTTGAACCTGAGAGTTGTTGATTGGAATCTTGTGCGTGGCCAACCACAACAAGTCTTGATGGAAAAAATTACCCGCACACCTGTAAACACCAACACTCTTCAAGGCCGCAGCAGCCTGAGAAAGATCCAATGGCGACTCTCGTCCACCATTTGTTGGCGACAGTGGGCTTTCTCCACGAATGTCCTTGAACATTTCATGTGCAAAAATGCATTGCAAGGCATCGTGCACTTTCAACAAGTGAGCCTGGCAAAGCCCAGTCTCTGTTGGCATTGTCACTGGCTCAGCCGTTGTTGTTGGCCCGGTCTTCTGCTTTTTCTTCGGGGCCATGGCTGGGTGAAGCAGTGGTATCAACAGGGTTCAGAGCCACTCTGTGCTGCAGAAACAGAGCGGCATTTCATCATTTTAAAGACATGGTGGAAGACGCCTGCAGTTCCACTTTTGGAGAACACTTTTAAAAGCAACAGGGATGATTTCTCTATTATAGTTCGTCATCTTATTGTGCGTATGTACATATGTCACACTAGTGGAAATTAAAAACCACATGCCCCTCGCCGCCCAAACCGCCGCGCGCGCCATTTTTCACTGGATCACTTGAGAATCAGTGAGTTCAAAAAATGTGCGGCTCCCAGCTTTGGACTGGCCACTGCCTTTCAACTTTGGCCGAAGCAGCCAAGCATGGCCGAAGCAGCCATGTCTAAGATCCATGTTGGCCACATCTTGGGTCTGAGCAGCATTGTCTGCAAAGCTGGTTGGGGCAACGTGTACCAGGTTGGTTGCGGTCACATTGGCGGCACATCCTAATAGCAATGACAGGCGGCGGCTTAGACAGCCCTGCCTGTCTTCGTTCCCGGTCTGCCGCAGCCCTTTCAGCTTTCCTATTGGCCCAGCCTGATTGCCTATTGCGGGCGTAGCCTCCAGAGTACCATGCCCCACTGCCACTGGCTGGCACTGGAGCTGCCAAGACAGGGATTGCCATGGAAGCAGCTGCAGGCAGTTGCATGCGGACTTGTTCCATCACTGTGTCAGTAATTTGTTTCACAGCGTTTTCGAGGTCCTGCTGTGTGGCAACACGCTGCTTGTTCTCTTTCAACTCTGAGACTGCGCCAGGCTTTTCTTTCTTGATCTGTGCTTCCGACGGTTCTAGGTGTAGTCGAGGTCGGGCGCGTGGAGGCCTGGAGGCGTCCTGAGAAGAATCAGTTTCTTCCCGGATTCGACGGGCATCTTGAGTCTGATCAGGCTCTGTTTTGCAAGCCTGATTGTTGCCATTAACCCCTGCGGGCTTTTTCGCCGGAGACTCCGACTCGTCATAGTAAGACGACGACGAAGAGGAGGACGAAGCTGCTTTCTCAGGCGCAGCCTCCTCAGTCACAATTGCACCAGGTGCGGCTTCATCGTCATCAACAGGACCAGGTTCGTCCTGCGCGCAGCTTTCCAGCGGCAAGGCTTCTGCAGGTGGCTGCGCTTCGGGCGCATGAGCCAGATCGGCCGCAGCAGCCGAAGAAACAGTTGCTGTGGCCGAAGCAGCCACCTCCTCAAAGACTTCATCCTTGACATTGTCAACCAGCGCAGCAAGGGCTCGCTCAACTAAGTCCTGGCTGTGTGGCCCGTTTGGGGGGCCTTCCCTGAAAATGTCCAGCGCAGTCTGTGTGCACCCCAAGCCCAGCTCAGACTGTAGGGACCAAAAATCAGCAACCATTTTCGTCATTGATGCCATCCACTCATCCCACTTGTGTCTCGGACGCGGAAAATCCTGATACTGGGCTTGGAACCAGAATCCCTCCTTCAGTGACTTCTGAGCACCGAAACCCAAGGATAGCAAAGCATCCCAGTCATCATCGATGACAGCGGTCATGCGCTCACTGTGCTTGTGTTTGTCGCCCTTGCGCTTGACCAGGTGGATGTTTGACTCCGGAATTCCCAGCGAGCAACAGAAACGAATTACCCAATGAGTCTTACTTGGGTAATTGACCCGGCTGACAACTTGGGGATACCTGCCAGTGCGGTGGTGCAGCAGGTGCACAAACATATAAGCATTTGGGGCAGCTGCTTCATGAATTTGCTCTCCATCGAAACGAGTGTCACCTTTACTGCTCAAGACGCCACCCACATCAATGGCTACATGCTCAGCCGAAGCAGCCGCATGCATCTTCTTCCGATAAGTTTTCCCCATCAAAGCGGCCGAAGCAGCCGCTGAGTGGCCACAGAAGCCGTAAAATTGAGCCAAGACTGCGACAACCCAAGTATACTAACACTGCAACCTGCGACCACAACGACGACCACGACGACGACTACTACGACAACGACCAAGGAAAACAGTCTTTGTATGGACAGGACAATCCGTCTGGTCCTTAGGAGGTTCAAGGACGTCCCCGATGCTCGGTTGGAGAGGACAAACACGGGACAAAGCCTTGTAGAACAGTACCACTTAAGGGAATTGCAGTTTCCACCCCCCCTTCGCCCTCTCCTTAGGAGGTTCAAGGACGTCCCCGATGTTCGGTTGGACAGGACAATTCGTCCTGTTGATAGGAGACTGTCTCTTATTTTCAGGGTGATTCCCAACTAAAGTGCCTGCAGAGCCAGAAAACCCGATCCAAGTTCTAAACCCTGAAACTTTTTCAGAAGGCTGTGTGTCAGAAATCTCGTGGCTAAGTATGGCCGAAGCAGCCATGCTTGGCCGCAGCAGCCAGGCAGTGAGAGTTCCTAGAAGCAGTGGCCGAAGCAGCCACTGCTGGATGAGGCAGGAAAGGTTTTGAACGCAAGGCCATTGTTTCCTGAACTAGCTGGTGGAACCCGTCGAACCATTCCCTTTTCATTTTCTCCCATGTGAAGCCTCCATAGTCTCCAGGGCATGTTTTCGCAAGTTCCTCCAGAAACAAAGCCGCCACTGAAAATTCCTTCTCTGTTACTTCAGTAACCTGCATCCGTTCTGGGTTCTGTGGAAGAGCGAAGACCAGATGCTCATCTGGCTGTTGATCCCATGGCAGGATACGGATGGTGGTGAGCAAGTCCAAGCTGACTTGAACCTCGTCCTTGCGCATTGGCTTCATGTACGGATTCATATTTGTGTAAATCCAAAATATTGAGTTCCGGGTGCACTCGATGGTGTTATCATAGGGCTCAAAGTAGTGCTGCATCAAAACCTCCCTTGTCACTTGGGCGTAGGAGCAAAAGTCTGACAAGGAAGTGGGCGCGGCCATGGAAAGGGAGGAAGCAGGGCAGAGGAGAGCTGGTGAGCCTCAAAACTGTGACATGACAGTTCCAGTTCTATAATAACTGTATTATATTTTTGGTATTATAGTTTCCAAGTTGCATTTAGTTTCCAGGTTGTCATTGTTTAAGGTTAGACCTGTTTTTTTTTATCCCCTGGTCCACTGAGCTGTCTGTGAAAACCGAAACTAAAATTTGCTTTGTTGTACAAAGCAGGGCAAATGATTGCCACTACACCCAAAGGCCGAATCAGCCAAATATCCTGCAGAGGCCGAAGCAGCCCTGCCTCACTGATCCATGACTGGAAAGTCTACAAGCTTGGAAGCCAGACCTGCTGAGAACATTGCTTTCTGCAAGACCTCTCCAACAAGGGGCACAGGAACACAATTACCCAGCATTCCTTGCAACTGGCTTTTGCTCACCAGTTTGTCCCAGCCTTGCAGCTCTGTGCTTGGACTGATTCCTGAGACCTTCAACATTTCTGTGGTTGACAAAGTTCGGCCACGACTCGAAATCCAAAAGCCACCGCTTCTGGCACGTCCTTGACACAGGGTTCTGCTGATGTCAATCCCGAAATTTGCATAAGAAGCCGAACAACCAATATCAATGGCCACTGGAACTTTTCGAGGGTCAATACCCTTGGAGTATGACTTTTTGTAAGCGTCTAAAGCTAAGGCTCGAGACCGTGGATTTTTTGGCAAACGCCCAGGCTTGTCAGCAGGTGTGGCCGGATCCAGAGCAGAAGAAAGAGTGCGCTTGCCACGTTTCCGAGGCCACTGGAATTTGTGCCTGTAGGAATCTTGGCGGATTGCGACGACAAACAGGCGCCATCGGTCTTGTGGAACAAAATAAAAACGAGCGTTCAATACACCGACAAAAACATGATACCCCAGGGTCTGTAGAGCAGAGCGGACGCCCCTCAAAACAGGTCTGTGTTTTTTGGAACACATTCCTTTGACATTCTCCATGATAAACAGTCTTGGGCGATGACGCTGCACATATCTGATTGGCACCTTTATCAATTGGCCCCTGGGATCTTGGAGGCCTAGTTGCTTGCCTTGCGAGCTCCATGGTTGACACGGCGGAGTGGCGATGTACAGATCGACAGGAACTTCCTCTTCCTTCTTTCGACCCTCTGCATTATCGTAGAAATTCTTTGGCTGATGAAAGTGTAACAGAAGCTTTTTACAATGTTTGTCCGTGTCGCTCCAAAAGCAAAGTTGCACCGGCAAGTGCGACAATCTCTGCAGAGCAAGAACAGCAGTGTCTAAGCCTGAGAAATCTGTCCCAACCTTGATGACTCGTGGGGTTCGGAGCGCAGTCATGCCAGACAATCGGGGCAGCTGTCAGCCGAAGCAGCTGTCAGCCCAAAGAGATGGCTTGAGCCAAAGATTCATGCAGGCAGTGTCACAAGTAAATCTCATGTCGTTACACAGTGTCTAGCAGCAACGGCAACAGGTAGTTTCTTTGTCGGCCTATCAATCAGGTTGCCGTGTGAAACACCCAAGTTGCTGTCAACCCATTTTCCCACCGCAGCCTCCCTGTGCGGAGGGGTCACCGACCTTTCACTTGCAGAAGGCCAGAGCAAGACGCGACTAAATCTGCACGCCGAAGACGGTGCAAAAAAGAATGAACGGTGTAAACATTTTTGTTTCCAGCAACCTGCGCAGTTCTTTCCTCTTCATGAATGACTGCGTACGCTTTGTACTTGGGGTACGACGATTGCTTTTGCAGCAATTGTTGCAGTGTACAATTTGGTCTCATTCTGTGAAGCTGCCAGCCATGCCGAGCCGGAAGCATTTCTCGAAACGCTCGCCAAAAGTCTTGGTGTTTCTGAGCGCAGGCAGCGCTGACCAGAACCACTTTGCGCGCAGAAGCAGCGCGTTGATATTTCAAAGCACAGCCGTCGCCAGACAGGAAAAAATTTGGTGAAATTTCAAAGAGGCCCCTCAGGCCGACAAGAATTTGCAAGGGAGCCGCCAAGCCTTCACCTGGTTTGTCGCAGACAATGACAAGCGCGTCAGACGCTTGCGATGTCAACTGCAGTCTATGGTTGGCAAGAGCTGCTGTCAATGACATGTTGGCCGAAGCAGCCACAAAAGCTTTGGAGCCAGCTACCT